TATAGAAAATTAATAAAATCTAGACATTAATCTAGAGAACAAATGACACTAGGATAAGGGGGTATCTATGACACGCACTAGCCGTATTGTGCATGATAAAAAAAACAAGATCAGACCCATTAATCGTGCAACAACAAATACTACACTTATCCATCTCTATTTGAAAAAAAAATATATGTTAAGGGAAAACGATTAAAATATTTCTTAATGACTGTATAAAAATTAAGGAAAGAGATAATTAATACTTGTGAATTTAATTGACGCAATATTAGGGAGACCATAATTTGCATTGAAGCATTGTGGTGAAGTTAGACTATAAGCATAAAGAACTCAGTCATTATTCATTGTGTCAATGTGGATGTTGTTTTAGAACTTTTTTTACCATGCTTCTTGTTTTGAAAAGGAGTACAAGGATATATGTGTAGTAGTAGTTTTATGCAATCTTTGATATTGTTTAACTGTTTAATCTTTTTTCTTGTCATCCAGGGCCGAAGTTTTTGACAGATCATAGTTAATAAGCTTATAACGGTTCCTCTTCAACGGGCTAATTCCTACTTTGTCCTCTTGCTTCTTGTCTAATTTTATCCTTCTAGCTTATTCAAATTTACAATTAAAACACCTTTATGAAACTGTTATTTGATAACAAGTTGAAGTTTTAAAATATAGTATATCATAGCATTGTTATTTTAGGTACGCGATTTCACACGAAGTCTCTAATTTTATGTACATTAAATCTGTGAAATCTACAGCTCTAGGTAATTAATATTGTGTAATTGAGTGTATGTAGCCCTTATTGAACCTCACTGGCTTCATTTTTGAAAGAAGGTAATAGAAATAAATATTTATATATTTCAACAACTACTTTGAATGTGATAGTTGTATATTTTCACAAAAAAGTGTCACTAATATACTTATCTCATAATTGTTTGCGATGGTTACTTTTCAAGTGGGTGATACACTATGCAATCGCCATAGAATTATAACTTCTTAAATATGTCATCATTAATGGGTTTATATTTTAGCATATTCATTATTCCGTCTTCCTTTCCTGTTAAATAAGCTTAATTCATTGGTTGAAGTGTTGTCTTCATTTTATTGGTTTGGTTAATAGAAAATGGTTAGCATACATGCGCAAATCATGGGCTCTTATTGTCTCAAGCCCTTTACCTATCTTGTTTTATCAAATTAATAGTACTGAGATTCGTTGTTTAGTAATGAATTTATTCATAAAATGGACCATCAATGGAAATCATCTTATGCCTGTTTTTGTTGTGTTTCTGTATGTGCATTTGGACTTCAATTAACCTTCCATCCCAGCCTGTGTTAATCATCATGGATTTGTTTGCTAATCTTTCCTATTTATAGCTTGAAAACTCAATCCTACTTTGTAAGCTGTGAATGTTGAGCCTAAAGTGCATATAATCTCTTACCTTCAAGGAAAAAAGCATCAAAGCACAAAAGCATGATCGTTAGGCGACCTGGATGCCTTCACAATTTAGCCCCAATCTACCCACTATTTAGAAATACAACATGTGTTTGAGGAGATAAATCTTATTGATAGTGAGTCATATCTTGCACAATGTTCCTCTAAACAAAATCAGTTTTACCTAGAGCCTCGATTACTTTTTACAGAATCTTGGAAAATTGAAGTCTCAAGGTATTTAATAAATTTAGCTCTAATAGATTTTAGTTATTTTTGTATTTCTTTCACTAATAAAGTCATGAAAGTCCCCAAGTAAAGGCCGATGTATAAACATTACATTCAAAAGGCTAGATATCGGCTCGTGAAAGAATAGTATGCTTCTTTTATTGCCTTGCTAATATTTGCTTGTTTACCAAAAGTCTCTAATCTTATTTTGTTTTTTGCTTCTACTTGCAGCATTAGCTTGCAGTAAAAGTTAGAATTAGTTCTTGGAAAATCTTGAGCTTGTTCAATGTTATATAATGTCCATTCAAGTTGTGTATGATCATGTAAATTTCAATGCCTCATGACTTTGCTCATGTTTAGCATAACTAAATTGTACTTTTTTTTACCACCTTATATGGTTGGTTTGTCGCAACTCACACAAGTTAATTATGTGTGATTTTGATGTCTAAAATCATTGACTTGTTTTAGTTAGCATTTTTTCTTGGGTTTTTAATAGAATGTGATTTTTTATCGGTTAGTCATCAATGTTTATAGAAATTGTGGAATTTAGGGAACTGATTCACAATTTTAATATACAACATTTTATATTTGAAATGATTACCATGCAACGTACGTGTGTATCAATTAATATATATAAAAGCAGACTTGCCTAGTGAGTAGTGGGTTGGGCTGTGGGTAGCCTACTCTTACCTAAAGCCTGGGCCGCCCGATAACTTTCCCGGATAAAGGTTTGAGCCTACCCTACTCAGGTCCGGTTTGACCCCATGGACACTCCTAAGTATGGTGAAAGGAAAATTAATTGGTTAGTGCTAAGATGTTAATTGATTTGATTTCTAAATATTCAAGGAATTTTATATACAAATTAGTTAAATATTTTAAATCCAATCCAAAAACTCAATCAAATCAAATAACTCATTGTTGGTGCAAAAATTGTATCCTACTTATACATAGGATAGAATGAACTCTGTTCACATTGGTATCAACTTTTTGGTGATTTGGATCAGTTCTTTAAGACTTCAAATGAGGTTTTTGATGTGCATACAAACCTGAAAAGAAGTCGGAGATCGGAGGGGGAGCTCTGGCAGTCGACCCTCTTATGCTTAAGATAGTAACTGGTGAAAGCTTATGGGCAATGTTTAGGGACAGAGTTGCGTACCATGGGCATTTTCCCTGGGCTCCCTTTTATAGTTGAAACTCAGCGTTTGTAGAGGAGTGGACTTTAGGCTTCCATATCCTCCGTGAGGAGGTTATAACCTCCCTATGGTTGAGGAGTCTAGGCTCCTGGTTTGTTATCATTGGTTGGTGAGACTTTGAGCACTTAAGGAGTCTTTTTAACTCTATTTATGTTGACTAGTAATGCACCACGTGCGTTGCACGTGAATAATTTGAATATGTGTATTTGAATTAAATATTGTTTCAAATTTATAAAATTTAATTTTTACTGCTCATATTCTATTATAGGATTATAAAAATTTTATATGCCCTCAAAATTATTTGTTCTAACTATAAGGAAGGAAAGATAAAAAAAAAAAAAGTAATAGTTAAAATTATATTTTTTTAGAATTTTGAGATTGAGATTAATTTTTTAACAATGTTTGGTAAATTTAATTTTTTTTGAAATTCATTTTATTAGGATTCCATTTATAATTCCTTGAATAAAATAAAAGTAATTGTTAATGTACTAATCATATTAGAACTTTACTGTAATTAGGAATTTGGTTAATTATAAAATGTCCCCTTGAACTTTGAATTTTATTTCAATCAGAGCCCTCTGGTTTAAAATTGAACAATTTACCTCATTCAAGTTCTAAAATTAACAAGTTAACTGATTAATTAGACAAAAATTTTAAAATTACTTTTGTACCTTTAGCCTTTATTCATCTCCATGTTTTTCCTTTCTCTTTGCCCAATTTAGCCAAAATCTCCAACGCCCACCATCCACAATCCATCACAACCACCAACCACCGCAGTTGCCAACACAACTACAATCAACAAGCCCACAAATCATCATAGCCACCACCTAGCCACAACCACCACAACTACCAACCACCGCAACCACAATCAACCAATCAACAAACCATTGTAGCCACCACCCAACCACCCAGTCATCCAATTACAAACCACCGCAGCCACAACCCAACTAACTAGCCAACAACCACAGCAGCTACCAACGTAGCCGCAAACCACCGTAGCAACTGCCTAGCCACCCAAACCACAAGCCACCGCAGCCACCACTTAACGACAAAACCACTAGATTCATGTGCAGGGGGATGGTTTCAATGGGGGTGGGTTTTCGATTTCAGTGGAGTTGAGGGAAGGGTAAGGGTGGGTGACACTAAAAAAAAAGTCGTTTTTTGCGACGATTTTTTTCGTTACTAAATTAAAACAAATCGTTGCCGATTATTTTTTGCTATTTTTTTTCCGTCATGTGTTCGTCGCAATAACCTCGTCGTAGAAAGTACTTTGCGATGCAAATTTATTTTCATCACAAAAAAAGCTTTTTGCAACGAAAAAAAGACGTCGCAAAAAATTGAAAAAAACGATGCTAAAATATATTCCACCAACAAAAAAAAATGAAAAATAATAATTTAATTCATTTTTCACGACGTAAAAAAAAACATCACTAATAATTTTTTACATAAATAAAAATGTAAAAAATAATAATTTAATTAATTTTTTGCAACGTAAAAAAATCGTCGCAAATAATTTTTTACATAAATAAAAAATGTAAAAAATAATTAAATAAATACATTTGTCACGTATAAAAAACGTCGCAAAACAGATTGTTCCTACAATTTTGTGCGACGATTTTAATTTCATCGCAAAAAAGTTTTTTTTTTAAAAAAAAAATTTATAAAAAATGGTATTCCAATAAAATTTTTCACCCGTACACCAATAACACCTGTGTTCAATAAAAAACTAACCTAATTAATACATTTCACATCTTGTTTTAAAAAAATAAAAATTTATTTCCAAAAAGAATGAATTACAAGAATCAAAGAACAAGAAATTCTAAAAATAGAAAAAATGACTTTAATCCTTCAAGAGGATTTAAACCATCTCTAATTACATTTAATGTCTCTTAAACTTGAACAACTCCAGCAGTCCAGCTCCATGACTTGAAATACCATCTCCAAGCTCAATAGATCAGTACCAGGATCTGAACCACAATGCTGGACATGAACCACTGCATAAAACCATGGCCCTTGGCCCTATCCAGGATCAGCATAAATTAGAAAAATTAGAAACAGGGCAGTAGAGCAAAAAATGCAAGCTGTATAGTTTAAAACATCAACTATATAAATCATCTTTTTATCATAGAGATCCTAACATCACGAAGAGCAGACAACAACTAGCCATCATAATCTCCCTCAGAAAACTCGTTTTCTGGATAGAACACAGCCACAACCGGTTTCCCACCAAATTTTCTACCATTTAGGCCAGTTCGTGCTTTAGTTGCACTCTCAACATCTGCATACTCCAAGACCACCTAAAGAAACAAGGCAATCATTATAAGTAAGTGGACTTCAAAAAGTTGATACATCCACGTAAATAGATTGCAGGTATTTTTATGCTCAAGAGAAAAAAGACAGTTTGAACAAAGTAAAAGCTAAAGTCCCTTCTCAATAACGTCAGTAACAATCAACATACTAAGACACATGTCACACATCCAAGTCCAGGAACATGTTCCCCATTTGGATTTGGACGTGGAATAACCACATTCACTAAAGTACCTGCCATTTCAAATTAAAAAAAAAAAAAGGTTAAGAGCCAAATATATACCAAAATAAACGAGGAAGCCTTGGGTAAATATAGAGAGAAGGCTATGCAATTAGAATTCAATTTTAATATCCTAAATGATGGGTTTTTTTCATTTTAACCCCAATATCTGTATACACAAATTTATTGCTTATACTGGACATCTTCAACTTTCCAACCCAAATCTAAGACGTCAAAAATCGGTTGGCAAAAGTAAAGATAAGTCAGTTAGTTATACATAGTGATTATTTCTTACGGAACAATGATGAGACACATAATCATTACAACAGAAACCAATATTTAATAACATGAGAAAATATCAGGCCAACATCAAAATTCCTAAAATTACCTTCTCCACATCACAGTCGACATGACCGAGCTTCACCTTGCCCTTCAACTTATTTGCAGCCTTCTTCCACTCAGGTGCAAGCTTCTTACAATGTCCACACCTTGAATAAGAGAAGCCAAATAAATAATAGCAATCATTAAATCCATAAGACTAACAAAAGTTGAACTGTTGAAGGGCATAAAAAGATTCGAAAATTATAACATTTATCTATGTATATTCTCAAAAAAAAAACATATTCACTTGCAAATGTTACCTCATAATCAGTTGAACAACAAAAATGAAATGACACACAACATTGAAGCCTCTTTGCCTTTCTGTTCTTATACAAGGATGGTATCCATTTATTCTAAGAAGATTTAGTTCCATCACAATCAAAACTGCTTGCTTTTACAAAATCATGGACTGGAGGGATTCTGTGACCTACTCAGGATTTATCCTACTGTTCTAGGCCTCTCGATGATACAATCTTCATCAGTGTATAAAATTTTACAGTGTGTCCCATTAACTTTGATATCAAATTCTCTTGAGATCCTATGCAAACACGCACCAGCTTGTGTTTAGTACAATTTCTCAATGGCATGCATTACTTGGCAAAGGCAACAACAATATTTTTGTATGCAATCTAAAAATATTCAATTTTTCAATAAGCACTGCAGCAACATGCAGACATTGAAAGATTAATCACACAACTATTGCTAAGTTAGAATCATCCAAGAGAACAGGATGAACCATCTAAACCATTATAAGCAAGTAAAACTTACCAAGGAGCAAAGAACTACACAATCCAAAGATCTTTACTTTTAAGAACCAACTCATCAAAGTTACGTGAATTCAGTTCTACAGATGCACTAGGTTCCGATTTCTCACTTGATCGTTCTGCAGCTTTTCCATTTAATCGTTCCTTTAGAAGTAACTAAAAATCCAGAATGGAAAAAGATAAAACCCCTGGTAGTCCAGTAAAGTCCTACTTGGAAAGTCAAAGAAACATGCCAGTTTGACAATTTCATGCAACTCAACGAATACTTGTACCTAGCATTATAGTCACACTTGTCTCTAGATTTTGGCTTGGTAACTATGCATTCAATTCCATCCCTATGGAAGTCCTCCATGTTTTACCACTAACATTTATGTACAAATAAAATCAAGCATGCACTCATAAAATAAAAAATAAATAAAAAAAAGAAGAAAATAATATACTATTCACACGAATGATGACTTTTTTCGCTCAAACTAAACAAGATGACAAAAGAAACAAGCAGAGGTTATAACAGAATTTCCAAGTCTGAATTGATAATGCTGACCTGCTGGAGTGCATATTCTACAATGGGTTTGACATCCCTAGCTCCTTGGTAATCCACAGGAGGTTTCCCAGGTGCAAACACCTTAATAGTTGGAAATCCTTGAATCCCATATTCCTACAGAAAACAAAAGATAGGGTATTACAATAGAATAACTTGGACATCCACAAATGTATTCCCCAAAACTTGTTTTGATTAATAATAGTACTAGGAAAAAAATGGAAGCTTCAAATCAAGTGAAATACCATCTAGAAACAGCAAATAATTATTTTTAATGGAAATGATATGTAATGATATCTCAGGAATAGATCCTCAATAACCATGAAGAGAACCTCGTCAATCTTACCCAGCCTTTGCATCCTGTGTGATAAGCTTGTCCAATTAGAAACAACTACAATCTTTTTGGAAGGATATTTTTCTTCAATAATATATCAACTTTGATTATCTAAGTTATACATGCCACTAGAACAACCAAAAATCCCAATAGCATACTAAAAAAAAGTTGAATTTCTTAAGTAAATCTTTTTATTTCATAGGCATCAAAATCAAGAAGACCAATAAGAATTAGTATTTTATGACAAACTATAAAACCCCGAAATTGGATAGAGATCACATATTGTAGATGTGATAAAAAAAACTTACCAAGGTTCACTGATCAATGGAAGGAACAAACACTAGAAGGCAATAAGCTACAACAGCATATACCTGTTCATTTGCAGAGGGAGCAAGCCCACCAACATACACCCGCCGAGCATGTCTAGCATTCATAACAAAAGGAATGTCCCATAACAAGATTCCAAGAGTGATGGGGTCCCAGCAAGCTTGAAAATAATTTTCAGCCCTTGGCATGCCTTGTAAAAGATAAAAAAGAAACTATTATCAAGTTAAACTGCCAACTCAATTAGGAATTATCGGGGTGGGGAAAATGAGAGAGATTGGCTAGAATAAAACATTTATTTACTAGGGCAGTTTTAATCAAATATATTTACTGGCACAGAGAAATTTAGTTCCATGGATAGTAAACCAATTAAGATGAATTGCAGAAAACCACACGCACTAGAGAGACGTTACAAATATGAGGTACCGGGGAACACATAAAAAAGAATGATTCAGAACTCACCTTGTTCTGAGTTTTCACAAGGTCAAGAGAAAGAAACAGATTACGATATGCATCATCCTTGTCGGACAAAAGCTTCCTCAACTCATCAACACTAGATAACACAAAAAGAGAATGATAAGAAGCGCAAACAATGCAAACCAAAAATTAGGAACTTTCGCTATCTAAATTATTCCCCAGGAATCACAATGAACTCTTCCTCTCTCGACACTAAATTGCCTTCTCCCTTCCAAATTCTGGAATGTGGTCCCTCTCTCATAACTCTCTTCACAATTGTTTGGCTTAATTATGCTATGGAATAAGGTAAGAGGTTTTTGTCTCATTTCACCGCAAGAGGCTTTACACATATCAATTTGCAGATGCATCAATTGTGTCATGGAAGCTAATCAGACATTAATGAGGAAGGCCTCTCCCACCTCATTTGTTTGTTATAATATAAATACATACTGCAAAACTCACAAATCAACACCGCCACAAAATAAAAACACAAATTATGTACATCATCGCAAAAAAAAAAAGACAACCCATAGCTTTTATTTTAGGAAAAAACAATAAATTACAAGTACAATTGTAAAATGAAAATATGCCTAAATAGGGAAGAGCTTAGTGATACCCTTCTTAGCCAAAGCCTGAATGACCTCTCCAGAAATCCCAAGCTTCGATATCTCAAGACCATCATCGCCGGCCCCACTCGCTCCCAACGACTTATCTTCATCGGAGAAATTGGCGAACGCAAGTTCCGCCTGAGATAACACTTCGGAAGCCCTGAAATTCAACGACCCACCACCCACACGAAAATTCCTCGTTAGAACTCCATAGTTACCACTGACCCACTTGAGAGATTTCGATTGCTGTCTAATAGAAGTGGTGGAGGTGGAAAAGTAGTGACTTTTGGTACTAATAGAAGCATCTCTGGGTGTTGATGGCGATAGAGGAGTCGTGCTAGGGTTGCTGATGGAGGCAAGTGTGAGTCGCTTTGAACATGGCGTTGCCGACTTTCTCAGTAGGCGGAGGCTATTCATTTTCACTCGAATATGTGCAGAGAGAGACATAGAGAAATGCAGGGTTTTTTGGTCGCGAAAATTTAATTTAATTATTATTTCTAAAATTTTTTATTTACGTGAAAAATTATTGGAAAAACATCGCGAAAAATTAATTATATAAAAAATGTCGCAAAAAAATAATTTAACTATTAATTTTAAAATTTTTACTTACTTAAACAATTATTGGCGGCGTTTTTCTAAAAATATTTTTAATTTAATTATTATTTTTTAAAACTTTTATTTACATAAACAATTATTGGTGACGTTTTTCGTGAAAAATTAATTTAATTATTATTTTTTAAATTTTTATTTACATAAAAATTTAATGACGATGTTTTTTTAACAACGCAAAAAATTAATTAAATTATTATTTTTAAAATTTTTTATTTTCATAAAAATTTATTAGCGATGATTTTTTAAAAACGTCACAAAAAATAAATTAAATTATTATTTTTTATTTAATTTATCAATTTCCGTCATTTCTTCCGTCAAAAACAATTAGGAGGGAATCGCCTTTTCGCGACAATTTTTTAAAAACGTCTCAAAAAAATTGTCAAAATAGAAATTTGCGACAAAATTATAAAATCGTCGTGAAATAAACTTTTTGAGACAAATTTAAAATCCTCACAAAAAATATTTTTTGTTGTTGTGGGGGTTGAAGGGATTTGAGTCTCGTTCAATTAGGGAGTTGAAAGAAGGGTGGAGGTGGGTTTTTGGTTTCAATGGAGGGGTAGAGAGGGATTTGGGCTTCAGTTTCAATGGAGGGGTGGGAGGGATTTGGGTTTCGATTCAATGAAACAGCAGGGATTAGGGTGTTCAGGGAAGGTAAAGGGGAGGGTTTCAGTGGAGGGGGGGAGCGCTTTGGGTTTTTTAATTTTTACTAGAATTGAGCTTTTTTTTTTTGATTTTTGACTTTTATTTTTATACAAAATATTAAAACAAGGGTAGTTGTGGATTTTTGATTAATTTAAGTTATTTTTAAAAGTGATCAACTAATGGTAAAAGTTAATTAAAAATTATTCAAACATTAAGGTGACAAATTGTTCACTTTTAGAACTTGAAGGGGGCAAATTGTTCAATTTAAATTAGAGGGCCCTGATTGAAATAAGACCTAAAGTTTAAGGGGACATTTTGTAATTAACACTTAGGAATTTGTTAGGCGAATTGGGATAAAATCTAAAAATTTTAAGTTTTACTTAAAAATTCTAAAACAAAAATCAAATTCTACAATATTAAAATTTTTTTAAAAAATTTAAGTTTTACTTAAAAATACACTACAATATATATTTTTACATAAAATCTTAATACATCTTATAAAGATTATTGTTATTGAATAATTATACAGATGTAGCATAATTTAAAAAAATTATATATATGATTGTTTTTTATATTAAAAATAAAAAAGTTAAACTTTTCGATGAAAAAAATACACATATATAGGTATAATGTTATATTTGCATATAAGATGAGTAATATTTGATTGATGAAATTTTTGAAGGTTTTTTAAACATTTTATTGAAAATATAATGATACCTATTTTTTAAGGGTAATATAGTCGATCAATTTTTTTTTTATAAAAATTGATATTTATACATATTTAATAGATAATTTGGAGATTTAAAAATATAAGGATATAATGATAATTTAGATATTTAATTGTGAAAGGATAGAGTGATCTTTACAATTATTTATAAGGATAAAATAAAGATTATCAAGCACGAAATACAGAGAAATAATTTACCAAAACACAAGAATATTGTTATCTACTAAGATGTGCAAATCCTCTATACTAAGACAACATAAACTTTATATAGCTATCTATGTTTTGTTTAATACAACATAGTTATTAGACACGTTCATGCACTCATTCCTTATAATTTTAGAAGGTAAATTTATTTGGTTTATTGTTAGTCTCAGCCTTGCTTACTGGCCATCTCCTCAAGGTGCAGAGACTATAATAGTGAAGACAAAAAGAAAAAAAAATCTAGCCGACTGAGAGAATGAAATAGCTTGTAGAGTCTTGATAACCTCTTAATTTTAGTTAGAAATCCATTTTGTTTTTTAGATGATAGGAAATAAAGTAAATTGAAGCAAAACATTTAATTTTTTTCTTGGAAATTTGAGGGTATCAAGCTAATCTTGATAAAAGTTTAGGAGTTACACTATGTTCCTCTAAACAAAACCAGTTTTGCCTAGAGCCTCGATTACTTTTTACAGAATCTTGGAAAATTGAAGGCTCAAGGTATTTAATAAATTTAGCTCAAATAGATTTTAGTTATTTTTGTGTTTCTTTCACTTATATAAAGTCATGAAAGTCCCCAAGTGAAGGCCGATGTATAAACATTACATTCAAAAGGCTAGATATCGGCTCGTGAAAGAATGGTATGCTTCTTTTATTGCCTCGCTAATATTTGCTTGTTTACCAAAAGTCTCTAATTTTATTTTGATTTTTGCTTCTACTTGCAGCATCAGCTTGCAATAAAAGTTAGAATTAGCTCTTGGAAAATTTTGAGCTTGTTCAATGTTATATACTGTCCATTCAAGTTGTGTATGATCATGTAAATTTCAATGCCTCATGACTTTGCTCATGTTTAGCATAACTAAATCATACTTTTTTTTTACCACTTCATATGGTTGGTTTGTCGCAACTCACACAAGTTAATTATGTGTGATTCTGATGTCTAAAATCATTGACTTGTTTTAGTTAGCATTTTTTCTTGGGTTTTTAATAGAATGTGATTTTTTATCGGTTAGTCATCAATGTTTATAGAAATTGTGGAATTTAGGGAACAAATCCATGATTTTAATATACAACATTTTATATTCGAAATGATTACAGTGTAACGTACGTGTGCATCAATTAGTATATATAAAAACAGGCTCCCCTAGTGAGTAGTGGGTTAGGTTGCAGGTAGCCTACTCTTACCTAAAGTTTGGCCTACTCGATAATTTTCCCGGATAAAAGTTTGGGTCTACCCTATCCAGATTCGGCTCGACCCCATGGACGCTACTAAGTATAGTGAAAGGAAAATTAATTGGTTAGGTACGTGCAAAATTACCTAAATGAGCCGACACACTAAGATGTTAACTGATCTGATTTCTAAATATTCAAGGAATTTTATTTTTACAGTTTATATACAAATTAGTTAAATATTTTAAATCCAATCCAAAAACTCAAATCAAATCAAATCAAATAACTCATTGTTGGTGCAAAATTTGTCCTACTTCTACGTAGGTTAGAATGAACTCTGTTCATGTTAGTATCAGCTTTCTCGTGATTTGGATTAGCTCTTCGAGGCTTCAAATGAGGTTTTCGACGTGCAGACAAACCTGAAAAGAAGTCGGAGATTGGAGGGGGAGCTCCGACAGTTGACCCTTTGATGCATAAGATAGTAACTGGTGACAGCTTATGGGCAATGTTTAGGGATAGAGTTGCGTACCATGGGCATTTTCCTTGGGCTCCCTTTTATAGTTGAAAATCAATGTTTGTAGAGGAGTGGACTTTAGGCTTCTATATCATCTGTGAGGAGGTTATACTCCCTATGGTTGAGGAGTCTAGGCTCCTGGTTTGTTATCATTGGTGGGTGAGACTTTGAGAGCTTAAGGAGTCTTTTTAACTCCATTTATGCTGATAAGGGAGTTGAGACTCCATTGGATAAGGGGTCTCAATTCCTTTCTCTCCAAAACCTAGTTGCTAAGGATGACACAGTGGATCTCCCAAATCCCAATTACGTTTCCATACCGTGAAGCGTCTCACTTGATTGATGAAGAGGGAGGTGGTGGCTGGCCTAGAACAACCACACGATCAATGTTATTGCTAGCTTGGAATTGTCAGGGAGTAAGGCAACCCCAGATAGTTTGCACATTGCGTGGGCTCTTAAATAGCCATCGCTCAAATATTGTCTTCCTCATGTGGACATCGACGCAACTGCCAGTTGTTCCCATCCACTCTGGAGGTTGGTAATCTTCCAAACAGTAACTTTTTAATTAGGTAAACTTTGACATAGCTTTTCCAATGGTGTAATTAATTTTTGGCAGTCTGTTTGACGTGGTTGGTTCGTGTACTACCCTTCCCATTATTTTTTGAGTAATGCTAGATTGACCAAATTTTTGGACTAAATTTGGAGCCCAAATGACATGGTAGTTGATTATTTGAAATTTTTATTAGGGTCCAAATGACATGACACCAATCAAAGAAGCCCAAATCAACTGCCATGTCATTTGGGCTTCAAATTTGATCCAAAAATTTGGTCAGTCTAGTATTACACTTATTTTTTTATTTGTTAGCTCCTTGGGAGATGTAAACGACTTACGTGTGCATGTCTCATCAGTTAAATGATGCGGTTTTTTATAACTATCATTCCCTAGGCTATTTAAACCCTCTGAAGCTCTGGTTCAAGGCATCTTCCAGTCTGTGAAACTTCTTCTTTCTTCTCCTAAGCGATTTTGAGTTTCGAATTCTAGAGTACTTCAGTTGGGTTTTTTCCTTCCAATTTTCCTTCCATAGATTCTGCTTTCTTGCCAAGAAATCCTCTATAGCAAAACCAAGGTTCTTCTTGAACCCTTAATCTGTTATCGTCCTCGCAAATTTTTCTAATCTTTGTTCGAATCTCTCTAAAACATCCAAACCCATTATTGTCACTTAAGTTAAACCAAACTGAGGCAACTAAGTATCTAAGTCTCTTACCTCAGCTCAGCTTGATTGATTCCAAGAAGTCTTCACATGTTGTAATGTATATTGAGTTTCTTCATTATATCTTGCTTTGATCTTCAAGTTAAGTAAGCTCGCAGAAATTTTCAATTACCATCAATTTTCTAATACGCTATAATTAATGTATCATGTATCTCAAGAAAGTTTCAGTAATGTATGTGCAAATTCTGATTGTAGTTACCTATGAAGTGTTAAGATAACTGATAATACTTAGAAAAATTTTCATCCATGAGGTTGAACCAGGAGGTCGGATAAAGAGGTCAGACCA